CCAACGTTTCCAAGCGCGATGCAATTGACCAATTACATTGAACTCCTTGTTACAGATGCAAATTCTTCCGCTAATAATATTCCGAGTCTTTCATCTCTGTTCTCTGTTAAGCATATCTCAACGAAACATTGGCGGGGGTACGCGGGATGGATTCTCAAGATGCGAGATGGGAGCTTGGCGTTGGTATTAAAACCAAGTGTTTGGTCGTAATCTCTGCGTTTGTTCTTTGGTTCAAACTACACTCGTTCTTTTTCATTCGTTAGACATTGACTGTCACTACATTTCTCTTGTACCTTTTATTTTTATTTTACCTGATTCTTTTATAATCTGCTAGACGCAAGATGTCTTCCTCCATTCTTTTCGCTGCCGGCCTTCTTGTCGGCGCCGCTCAGGCTTACACCCAGGTCAATGTTGCCTCTCCCTTTATGCTCAAGAACATCGATCCCATTGTCTTTCCCGGAGAGTACAGCAAGTCTCATCTCCACTCGTTCTTCGGCTCCGATGCTGTGACCGTCAACACTAAGACGAGCGCGGAATTGCAGAAGGGCTGCACCAATGCTGAGAATCCCAACGATCTTTCCGTCTACTGGATCCCTACGCCGCTCTACACTGCTGATGGAAAGAACTTCGAACCTATCCCTGTTATGCGCTTCAGCGCGTACTATAACCTTGGCGAAACACCCGCTGAGGTTCCTATTCCTCAAAACTTGAAGATGGTCGCGGGTGATGCCAATGCACAGACTCAAGCTGATATGCCAGCTGACGCCAAAGCGGAGTGGACGTGCGAAAGCGAGCCCATTCCCCTCGGCGCAAACGGATTCCCTACGTCAACCTGCGCAACCCACCTCCAGCAACTCCTCTACTTCCCCCAGTGCGTCAACGAACAAACCCTCGAAACGGCCTACAAGTCGCGCGACTACGGCACCGCAAACTGGTGTCCCGAGGGCAGCAAGTCCATGCCCCAGCTGCGTTTCAGCATCCGCTACGACCTGCGCAAGGTCCTCCCCAACGGCTGGAGCGGCGAGGCGCCCTTCAAGCTCGCGTGCGGAAATGCGTTCTGCTCGCATGGCGACTTCATCAACGGCTGGACTGAGGAGGCGGCCAAGAACATGGTTGCTACTACGATAGAGAAGCAGAAGTTCAGTGCTGTTGAGGGTGCGCTTGGTGCACCTGATGCGGGACCGACTTGTGAGGCTAAGGATGCTGATCCGGAGAATGGTACTAGTGATTACAATGAGAGTGTGGCTGTTATGAACAAGCGGGATGTTTCGGCTTGGGGATGGAAGTCCAAGGCTCGTGTTGTTCGTGCTTAGGTTGGTTGTTCGTGAATTGGGCTTATCAAGCAACCGGTTCTAGTAGAATTCTGCTGGCGACAACATATCTTTCATGGCTTGTATATAGTTACATGTGAATAAACCTGAGACTTAACATCATTCCCTTCCTGATAGTGCCCAGAGTTTTCGTGCAGGGGTTGATGTTGAAACAACCTTGTTGAGTGGCGGTCCTGTAGTTAGTGAGAAATGGTTGAGCGACCATTGGTTATTCTTGAGCCCCTGACTTGTTATCTTACACTTTAGGTCATTCGTATCCATTCATACTACACTTTCCGTTTTGCGTGGCTGCTCGGGATCTCTAGCCGCGTTCTACATGGGCGTTCTAAAATGGGTAGTTTTCCGCCCCTCGCCCAAATCAGTCGAACCCCTCCAAAAAGACGCCAATCAAGTGTATCATGCTAAATACTATAGATAAAAGCACGCCAATTGAACTCCCCCTTCATCCTCACTCAAATATCGATACTTTAGTCTTAAATTTTTCACAGAACTCACCATGCGCTCAAAACGAGTCATCTCAATTGTCACATGCCACGCAGAAGGCGAAGTCGGCGATGTTATCGTCGGCGGCGTCCTGGATGTACCAGCCAAAACGATGCACGATAAGCTCACATACTACATGGCTGAGCGAGATGATCTTCGACAACTACTTCTCCAAGAACCCAGAGGGCGCTTGGAAATGAGCGTTAACTTAATTGTCCCGCCATGTCGACCTGATGCAGATGCTGGCTTCCTTATCATGGCGCCGGGAGATTGGGTCCCAATGTCTGGATCGAATTGTGTCTGCACGACGACTGTTCTTCTCGAGACGGGCATTGTTCCCATGGTTGAGCCTGTTACTACTGTGAGGTTGGACACAGCTGCTGGACTGGTGGTTGCGACGGCAGAGTGTGAGAATGGGAAATGCAGATCTGTTTCCTTTGACAATGTCCCAGCGTTTGTGTATGCTCTCGACAAAGAGATCGATGTTCCTGGGCTTGGAACTGTGGTGGTGGATATTGCATACGGAGGACAGTGGTACGTGCTCGTCAAAGCAGAAGCGCTGGGTCTTCGAGTGGAAACAGTCAATGCCGATCGTCTCATCGATTTCGGCAAGAGATTGAAACAAGCAGTATTGGCGAACTGCATGCCCACGCATCCGGAGAACCCAGCCATCTGCGGTATCAACAACGTCATCATCACAGAGCCTTTGGAAGAAGGGCAAGAAGGCAAGACTGTTAAGCACACTGTTGTTGTAACGCCGGGAAGGTTGGATAGGAGTCCTTGCGGAACGGGGAGTTCGTCGCGTCTGGCTATTCTGCATGCGAGGGGTCTTATTGAGGAGGGAGAGTCGGTCAAGTTTAGGAGTATCATCAACACAGAGTTTGTGGGGAGGATCAGAGGGACGACGAAGGTGGGTGAGTTGGATGCGGTGCTGCCCACTGTTAAGGGGAGGGCTTGGATTACGGGTGAGAAGAATGTCCATCTTGACCCGGAGGATCCTTTTCCCACTGGGTTTCTACTCTAGACAGAGGATTATGACATATCACCATATGAATTTTGACCATAAGTGGTGTTTTATAGAATGAAGGGTCAAACATAGGGTCTTCCGCAATTTGCGTGCCAGTCTGAGATTTTATCATATTTCACAAAGTCTCTCGCAGTCTTAAGTTTCGTTTAGAAAACGAGATATGTATACTCAGGAGCATTTCACAAGTATTTCTGAGTTTCAATGGTTGAGGTTGATTAGACAAGACTTTCTCCAGAAATGTGATTGCAAATAACATGCTGAATGGCAGTACTTGGAGTTGACCTCACAGCTTCGCCCGAGTCTTATCAGTGACCTTGTCAACAAGCTCAACCACCCCCTCAGCACATCCATAAGACCCCATATACCCCCATCCCGAATGCCCATAATTATGAATAACCCACGTCTCATTATCCAGCTTCTCCTCCTCCAGCCTCAAACCGCCCTTTCTATAAGGTCTAAACCCAACACCATGCCGAATAATACTCAAACCAGTAATTCCCTTTCCACCAGCAATATCGGGACAAAGATCTACAATCCTCTGCATGATTCTATTTGCGGTATTCGGATCAGGCTGCGTGTCCCAATTCCCAATCTGATACGTCCCACCAATAACCGTTCCACCGCCAGCTGCTCGTTGCATAGCGTAGATCTCCTCACCGCTTTCGTCGAGGGCGCTAGAACACATGAAAAGCGGTAGGTTCTTGGGTGTTTCGTTGCGAACGAGGACGATTTGACCTCGTGCTGGTGCGACAGTTGTGTCTTGGACGCCTCCTAGCTTAAGAGACCCCAGACCAGTGGCATTGACGATGATGTTAGCCTTTTCGCCGGTATGGCTGAGATACTTGGCTTCATTGATGTGAGTGAGAATACCGCGCTTTATGACGACGCCGTATTTGAGGCATTGGCCGAGAAGCCAGGGGAGGTAGATGGCTGTGTTGATGCAAACTCCTTGATATTGGAAGCCAGAGTCGTAGCCTGTTGCGACTTCAGATGGATGGTTGTTGCGGAAGTTGTTGAAGATTTCTTTGAACCATGGGTTGTCGGCATAGAAATGCGCTGAGAATCCGGACTTGGCGGACTCTGTGTCTTTATTCCGACGAAGGACATGTGTTGCTTACGATGTTAGCCTTATCTGGTCTCAAATAACTTAATCATGAACTTACTCTGGAAATGAATGCCCGCTTCAGGAGTCTCCTCGACGAGTTTCTTTAGAGCGATCCAGGTTCGGCGTTCCCAACGACTTGCATCTTTAGGTGACAAGCTTGGAAATATTAGTATAATGGTCTGGAGAGGGTATCAGTGGTTGGCTCACGGAATGACATTGGCTCCAGCCCATGGGGAGGCGTACTCGGCGTCATAGTCGCCGGGCATATGCTTGCCAACAACAGTGACTTTGTTGCCCTCCTTGGCCAGCAACAATGCTGAGGTGAGGCCAATTACACCAGCACTTGATATCGTTAGTTCAAGTTTGATGCGGTGGATTGAATATCTTACCCGATAACGACAACAGTATTTGTCATCTTGAAAATTATATAATTTTAGATATTCTTCGAGAAGACTACAAAATATGTGATATTTGACCTGTACCTAGCTTAGAGAAGGTCGAATTTAAGTGATAGCTATTCATCTTGTTACATTCTAACTCATCATTTGTGATTGGTCACTTCGCGGATGCATGCCTATCTCGGCACAGCGGAGCTAGTGGTATGCGAACCGCTTCCTAAACAGTATCTGGGGTAGACTCGTTATCTAAAAGCACTAATCCAGTGCTGAGTGAACTCAAAAGAAGTTCATTCTCGCGCTGGCTTGCCAAGTTGAACATAGAGAGCTGTCGCGTGACTGATGTGAACGTCGCATGGTGTTCTAGACCCAGGCCTCATGGAGAGAGAAGCTTTCGGCCTCAAAGCGAGGTGCCAAAAAAAAAAAGGAACTGGTCTAAGGTCTCTTGATTATAGTATTCTACTAATCTGATGCCGATAAGCACTTGAGGATAGATATTTGGGGTTCTTGACGCCCCTGACCAGGATAAAGGCAAGCCTTTGCAAGGTAACCCGCCAATGAAATATGACACGTCAAACTCCGCATTTCATTTCACCGCTCTCTCCACTTCGGCGCCCTTCACCTTTGCACTTACTTAAGTTATTGGGCCGATTTCTGGGATGGCTACAACGCCCAGATACAGAATCGAAAGTATTCTCACCAATGTTCGGAGCGATAATCATGATGCACGCTTCTCCGTCCGCCGGAATGGAAGGGTATTCTACATCACGATCTCACCGACCAATTTTACCAACTCCCCCAGCATGACCGAGAAGTACATGGCATATCTTGAAGTCCTCAAGTCACGCGAAGAGGTCGTCGGGGATATCTACGATACTGATGTCTATGAATGGGTCATGGCCCCGTTTGAGCCTCTCCTGGTTGAATTTGCGCCTGCTCCAGAATGTAACCCGAAAGACATCAGAGTCACCCTGGAACAGCATTTATTTCCCGAGTTCTTTGTCTTTCAAATAGACATCATTGACGAAAAACTATGTCCTCGACGTGTTGAAACAGAGACGTCCCCTTCACGTCCATCTTTTGTACGCTTTGACGATGACTTTTGCGATGACTTGGAGACTTGGACTGCCTTCTACGATCCTGCTGGAATAAGTCTTAGCTTCGAAAATCCCGAGGATGCGCTTTTCGTACTGCCAAATAAGGTTTTCATGGACAATTGCGAGACTGAACTTTTCTTTAAGCCGTGCAAGTCCGGCATTCAGACTAAACGCGAACTTGAGACGTATAAAATGATCCATGCAGCTGGTTTGGACTCACAGTTTAATCTGTGTCACGTTTACGGCGTTGTCTTCGATGAATATGAATTCATCCTTGGGGTTTTGTTAACTCATATTGATACACGAGGCTGTCCTTTGTCAACTAAAATCGCTCCTGGGGAGCCTGATAATCCTCCACTTGACGTGAGACAACGATGGATTGACCAGATTGAGGCTGCATTTTCGGGCTTGCATGGCGCTGGTATAATCTGGGGTGATGTAAAGGCAGAAAATGTCTTGATAGATCAGGATAATGATGCGTGGGTTACTGATTTTGGAGGCGGCTATACCAGGGGCTGGGTTGATAAAGAGGTGGCGGAGACTATGGAAGGGGATCAGATGGGTATGGCGAGGCTAAGAGAGTTCATCTTTCCAGCTACATCAAAAGCGGAACAGTAATGTAAGTTCTCTTTAGATTCCAAAGATTGCAGAGGGATATACGACGTGTAAGCAACTTCAGTGCTCCGACAAAGAGGCTCCCGGGCGGTTCGTATCCATGTCGCCGACCACTGTCCTACTCAAAAGACAATAAGTTAACTTGAAATGATAATTACTTGTTTCTTCGCATCTAGTCAGCTACTGCAGCTTCCCATATTTCTTTTACATAATCATCCTCAGAAAAGTCCAACGGCCATGCAATGTTCAACAAGACCCTCCTTGCATCCTCCCACTTCTCCAACCCCATATCTCTACTCTGTTCTTTTATAACCCTCTCGAAAAATGGCTTGAAGCCGGGTTCTCGCTCCATATCCCCAAGTTTCTCATGTAAATAAAGACTCATCAATCCCAGAAACGATTCCCAGAACAACAGTTCTGCGATATCAGGCGTATTCGTCTTCTGAAGCGCAAATGTGAGATCACGCTGGAATATCCTCATGCTACAGAGGTATATCTCCTTCGTGAAAGGACGCCACAGAACAACTACCTGTTCAAGGAATAACTCAGTTGCAACGACCAATCCGCACCATGAAGTCTTTTGCTCAGCCTCTGAAGTCGCTTCATATTGGTGGTCGGTGGGTGTAATCGAGGTTTGGTGTGATTCAAGAACTGCGTCGTAAACTCTAGCAGCTGCACCAGTTCTCCAGAAATCATCGTGTATCTTTTGAGCTTCTGTGAGATTGTAGAATTCGTCCGTGACTTTACGAAGACTGTTAACTATTGACGCGCTGTAGACGTCCGAGAGCCTTGCTCCAATATTAGGCAGTATGAAGAATGTTGAAAAGAGGCGTATGGCTTTCAGTTTGAGACAGTGTAGATACTGGCCTTCTGACTTGTACCATTTGTGCATGAGACGCATGGGATTGGAGACTGAGAGGCTGCTCTTGTCTTCGGTTGATTCTTCGGCGCGGAGGATGCCATGGAGAACGGTCTGTACGCCGTGAATGAAAGTGGAGGTTCTGGGATGTTAGTTGACTTCGGGTTATTTCTGGGTGGTAGATACCTACAGTAGATAATAGCGATCAGAAAGCTCTTGATCACGAGTCTTGCCATTAGTAGTCAATGGGTCTGTTGTCGGACATGGCAGAGCGTAGATGACATTTAAATGCTTTTCAGCCATTTGCATGTTACCACTGCAGAACTAATAGTGGCTTAGTACATCTGAGACAATAAGTGACGTTCATTTGCCATACCTCTGTATATGCCAGCGTGGCAATCTGCTTGGTGATGGCAGCTGAAAGTGTGAGATCTCCACTGGAGAGCCATTTTTTCACCAGTCGCACGGTCTCAATTCTATGAAAGAGGAATGTATGCTCAAATGCTTCGAGACTGCCGACCTTGAAAGTAAAGTGTGTAGCTGCCATCAAGATCGCATTGCGGAGGGCTTCGGGGTCCGATATGGTATATGGCATGCTGTCAACGTAAGCATTGGTTTGCATTGGTAAGCATTGGTTGGTGAGACAAGCTTCTTAGACGTACCAATCTTTGCCATGATTTGAGACAGATGTTACAAGGGTTTCACCGTAGACAAAAAGGCTGTTAGTGATTGATGGTTGTTTGTAAGTGATAAGACCTACAGTAATTAAAGAGTTCATGTGATTTGAGGGGCATGTCAATGGCCACGCAGTCCAGCGTCGTCGCAGAGCTCGACAAAATAAGCTGACGGACCAAAGCCTGGGTGTTGGGCACCTCAGGCCCCTTGGAAGAACTCGGAGCCTCCCAGGGAACATGCTCCCACGGCTGAGTCGCCCCAGCCTTCTCCAGCGCCCGTCTCTCCCTCAGCGGTATCTTGACAGGCGGGTATTCACAAGTTCTCTTACTATTAACGCAGTTCTCACTGCCAATTTGCACAGTCAGCCTCCAAGCCTGGCTGTTTTTTTTGGCTGGGATCTCATCTCACCATGTGGGACGCTGCTCGCCACACCGCACCCTGCGACTACGGCACTCTGAGCAGCCAGTGCGGCTTCGCGTGTGGGCGCGCCGCTGTCGGACTTTGCCTTTGCCCATCGTTTCGTCAGTGGCGTGACCGGCCATGGCTTGTGTGTGGTTTTAATGGCTTATCCGTTTCGGTGAGGAGATGGGAAGAAAGGATGGAGGAGATCCATATTACGCGTGTGTCGTAAGCACTAGACAGGGTTGTTGATAGGTGGGGATGTTTGGGCCAAGGCCTGCTGTTAGGGAGCGACTTGCAAGATTGATGCCAGGATGTTGTGTTGGGGGTATTGTGCGGGGAGAAATACCTCGTCTAAATGTCCGGAAGCGTTGAAAGCGGTAATGCAGTAACATCAGCCTCGAAAGATGGAGCCTCATTGGGATAATTTGACGAATACGCGCATTTTCTGCTGCTATTGCTTTGGGGGCATGTCAGAGATATGGAATAAGCATACGGAGTAGAGAAATAGGAACAATGGCATTCATCAGATTGAGGAACCATGGCTATTATTTATCATTATATTAATGGAAATAAGAAGCCGTAGTATGTCAAATAGAATCATCATCTCTTAATACAAGAAAAATAAATAAGCCGCACAGAGCACCTCTAAGTTTCGCTGGTATACACTTTAGCACCTAAATGAAGAATCGTTTCAGCCCTATCTTTAGCGTCCCCTAGCTAGCCACTCTTCAGGGGGGCTAGAAAGCACCAAACCTTAATATAGGGTGCCAAAATAAACTTAGTCAAGAGTCACTTAACTTAAGGCTAGATTTACCTAAGCATTTTTATCGCTTATCGATATTATAAAGTCTCAGATGCAATACCTCTGTACCACAGAACGATGCGAAGATCGAAATGCCAGGCGCTGTTCATTGCTGTCGTTTTACATTGCAATTGAGTTCACTTGCTGTTCATGAAATGACAGGGCATCTGTTCTTTTGTTTCAAGTCTCCCACGGCTTCAATGAAGGTGGGAACTTCTCAAAGAACAGTTGATCGAGAGCGTCTGTCGTGCTCAGGCCCTTCTTTGGCGGCAACGGAAACAAAGGATCGGAAACCTGAACAGGACGCTATGTACTTTATTTCAAATTTCAATTATGAACATGGAATCTACCGAGGCCAGAGCTTACACGCCATCAAGTCAGCGTCGGGGTTGGGGGCCTTCTGAACAAAGGAAGCAGTCTCTGAATTCGGCCGGTCACCTTTTTCATCGCCTCAAGGTAAATTCAGGTTCTAATAGATTTCCTCAGCCCATTCATGGAGGTCCAAGGTCTCAGCTGCATGGAATCTAAGCTGTATTTGACGACGGATACGGATAAAACCATGAAGCCAAGGAGACATTCCTCCGTGACCGGTCAGTGAATGTATTTCGGTGACTTTTGGCAAACACAGAGATAATACAATTAGAAATAAGTGAAGAAGGGGGGAAATTAAAACTCCTAAAATTGAAAAAGCTTTTATAATAGACTATAACTAACCAAGCCAGCTTCTAAATCCATATAGTCCTATCTCAAACTCTTGACTCTGCTGCCGGTTACTGGAGATGAATTCTCCTTATATTTCATCGCTGAAATCCTGACTTATGTGTGACAAACAGTATAGATCGAACTTAAGCCACTGCGCTTCGACTGCGGCCACAAACTCATCAAAGTCTACAAGCTGCCATCGGGGCAGATCACAGCTGCTGTGCTCATATGCATGAATGTAGTCCCAGTGAGAATCATGCCATATCCCATTCTCGTCCTGCTTCAGCTTCCAGGAGTCATGTTGCGTCCAGGAAAATGACATCTCTGCTCTAAACTTGGGCTTTTGCAACTGGTAGTGAAACCATAACTCCCATGGATTCCAGCTGACTTCGAAGATGAAACGATGAAGAGGTGGAGGGACATCTTCATCGCTTCTTGGGTTCTGACTATCTACCACAAGAGGTGATTCAATCGAAAAGGGGCGCAAAGCTTCGCACAACATGTGCCAGCATTCCTTGCCGTCCCGTTCTTCATTTAATCCGCCATGTCGTTGCGCTCTGGTTGCAATATTCCTCAGGGCTTTAAGAATGCTTCTCAGCGCATCTAGTTCGTACGAGTCAGCTGCCTGATGGCCCATTAGCTTAGACATCTTCACTTGAAAGTTATCGGCCGCCCCGCCTGGGTATGCCTCTTTCCAGCTTATCGATGGATCGAACATGTCGCGAAACAAATTCCAGGCCATGTTACCCAGGTTCGTTTTCTGGAGGTGCCATTCAAACCTATCTCCCTCTGAATTCCCTGCCCATCTAGTAAGTTGAACAGGCACGGTCCTATAAATTCCCTTTATATCCAGGTTGTGGTGCTGATACTCCTCAAGTACAATTTTAAGGAAGGATGGAGGGCAGTGAAGTCGCAACGCTACATCTAGAGGCTGATTGATCAGAGCTGGGTTATCTCTCTCGTGCGGGTACAAACGATAGCGTGTCCGGATGTTCATCTGGTAAGGTAAACAATATCCATACCTCTTCATGAGCTCAATCATCTTTGTTATCCCACTTGTTCGAGCCCTTTCCGTATTCCGGCTTAGGATGGTAACCAAGAGCTCAGGCATATGATCGCAATCATCGTTGCCATTTTCGTACCACGGTTGGCCTATCTGCTCGTTAGCCTCCAGTTCCTCGTCAAGCAACCATTGCAAGCCATTCAAGCATTTGCTCAAGGGAGAAGTGCCGGAGGCGACAAATTCCAGAAGGGAATCGAAGAGTCTATGCTTCTTGTGCGGCACTTCCGATGGACAGCTGCAGCCACGGGGAAGATCCCTTATGGTCCGCGGTGCAGCGCCAAGCTCAGCACATCTTTGCATGACCTCCAGGTCACCATGTGCAACAGCCGAGTGAAACACGGCGTACCCGTCAGCAAAGTGGTACATGGGGCGAATGATATGGAAGAGTCTGGAGCAGCTCAAAGCTAAGCCCTTGAGATCTCTATAAGGTAGAGTTCCTCCTTCCCCCCTGGGCTTTCCCGTAATCATGAGAAGTATTTCCGTTGGAAGAAGAGCCAGTCTCCCCTGTTGTTGAGGGGTTGAAGGCTTCATGGGTATAGATGGAGAAGTAGGAATAACTTCGGTATCCTCGTTTGACATGCTTGCGTTGGGTGGCTGTGTGATTTCCTATATGTCCCCTATCTCTTGATGTTTCATAACCAGATGCTTGGTATGGCTTAGGGTCTGTTACCATCGAGCAGGCAGGGCTTGTACTTATACTCAGCCTAATTTCACTCCAACTGTTCAGATCTTGTGATAGTTCAGCACCGCTCCACACGACGAAAGCAGAGTTCTAATGACTGACTATTCGTCCAAAAAAAGCTCTTCCGTGTGCTCGTTTGAAGTCTCCTTTGCTTCTAAACTTGGCGGAAACACCCAAATGAACAAAGTAATGTCATCGAGACTACAAGTTGTTAGCTAGATGTGTTGTTTGCAGCTGCGACTCGTGGCTGAGAGCTTATGTGAGCACAGAAAACTTAGTCCTGAGAAGACTGTTCTGATATCAATTTACTACTGTTTAGTGTTGAACTGAGACTGTGTTCATTGTTGTTCTTACAATCTCAGAACAATGTGACTTTTTCTGAGAACTTGAAGCCGGGCTTCTCTATATACTTCCCTGTCTCCTCGTTTGCTGGTGTGAATAGGCTGCTTGCGACTTGTGTGTGGGCACCACTGCCAAGTCTCTAATATCAAGGTTCTCAATGCATGTAAACCTCCCATATTCACTACCAGAATTTCGCAAAGACGATTACAACTATATCCCACATCAATAAATGGCTCTCTAAAAAGCTTATATCTGGAGTATATAAGCTGAAAAGGTTCGTGAGTAATAAGCCCCCGAGTTGCCTGCCGAAATCCCTCAGTGAGCCTGTAGTGAGCCCGTGGTAATCTTTTTTATATCATTATTGCGTTTATCATAGATAGGGCATAAGAACATGGCAACCACAAATTAGAGCTTTTCTTTCTTTTCTCCCAATATCAATCAAGGCCTCTTCCTCTTCGTGACTGTTGCGCTCCAAGTGTCGCCAATGTTCACTTTTCAGCCTGAGCATGCTCTTTATTCCGCGTTTAGCTAGCACAACCTGAGGTCAAAATCTGACAGTGGCAGACTGATACTGTAGCAGTGGCATGCCACTCTTGTTCACCCCACTGCTCAACTGCTGGCTTCATCACCGCAACGCTACAGATTTTGTTTACTCCTCTCAACTCCCCTCACAGTAAACTCTCACATCATCATCAACTCAGAAGCCAGAGTGACATTTTGATTCCCCATTGCCATCCCATCCCGAAATCCACCACAATGGGCTCCCTCCTCCCTCTCGACTCACGATGCTCATCCTTCATCGTGAAGCCCTCCGACAAGCGACCTCAGCAGACGGGAGCTCTCGCGCGTCTCCCTGTCGAGCTGAAGCGCATGATAGTCAAGAACATCGACAAGCCCAGAGCTAAAGACCTTAAATCTCTAGCCTTGTCTTCAGCTGCGCTCTTCAGCGTCATTCGCCCACTATACTACCGATCAGGCAGCTTTGAAGATTTCCGGCAAGCACTCAAGACTGCAGACGTCGCCAGAATGGAGCGCAATTACGAGTTCGGCGGTATTGATGTCTCGATCGTCTGGGGCAAGAAACATGTCAAGTGTCAATGCCGCAACAAGCTTGCAAAGCACAGCAAACACAGACCGATTGACCTTCTTCTGTTTCGCGTCCTCAAAGAAGAATGGAACCCGAGTTTTGCAAATGCTCTCATGTGGTTGTGTTCCAAGGGATTTTCGCTCCAGCACTGGCCTCGCAACCATCACTCGATCTCGTCTATGTCCAATATGATGCCTGAATCTCTTATTCAGCTTTTCCAAAGAGGGATGGGAGATCCTGACAAAGTCAAAGGAATCTGCGACATGATCCAGTTTCTAAGTGGTCAGGGTCTTCCCATCCCTCTCCGTCTGAATCCCGAACGGGCTCCAGGCTACGCAGCAAAGGAACGACAGGAGAGAGCAGTAGACTGCAGTTGCTTAAAATGCGGTCCTCCCCTGCGTCACGTATGGCACGAAACCACCATGACCATCGCCCTTCGATCCCATTGTCCACCCATCATCCTCGAAGTCCTTCTCCAAGAGTACACAAAGCGCGGTGTTTTCCTCACAGACTTGGAACTGGATACTTGGGAAGCCCCGCCAGCACTGAAGGATTGGTGCGATGCCCAGGAACCTTTCCTCAAAGGCAGACCTCACCACGAGCCGTGGTTCATCGAGACAGACTTTGCATCTGTAATCTCGAGTCTATACGCCGACCTCATGGAGCCTGTTACTGGCTGGGAAGAGGAATATCAAGGACAAACAGCCGACATCTGGGAGACCAAGATGAAGTTGCTCCTGCGCTACAACGCTATCGACGAGCATGAGCGGGATTTGTTCCAGGGAGTTTTGGAGGCTCTTCGACAGATCGCCAAAATGAGCCCGGGCACTGACGACGCCGCCAGAAAGTATCGATGGAGCGCATTCCGCAAGGCCATTCGAGACTTCGCAACAGCACCTGAGCTCATGAGCACGTATTTGGACCAGGATGATTGGAGCGAGTCTGAGTTTCCGGAGGAGACGCGACGTCCGCACCGGTTTTATATCGACGAGGACATCAATCCATCGTTCTGGAGTATTGGGAGTGCTGTGGTCAGATCTCACGATTGATGGATCTTTTTGATCTTATCGAGACTAATAACATGTCTTGGTGGTATGACGATCATTGTGAGCACTGAGTTGCTCCCCTAGGTATGAAGCTGGATATGAGCAGTGGGTGGCTTCTCTGGAGGCTGATGATCGGATTTGAGTGTGGTATGATTGATTTTGCAGCTTTTTTTCAGGGATGTGTTTTTATAAGGGTCTATTGCATTAGTACTCTTCAGTCCGGCGTGGATTTGTTTTTGCGGAAAGGGGAAAGGGTCTTTTGGTTCGTGCAAGTGGTATTGTCTTCTGGTGGTTTCTTTTCGTCATCTCGGGAAACACTTCACTCTGAAATCATGATGTGCACGAGATTAGGTATCACAGTGCAGTCTAATTGAGGTTTATTTTCTGTAGCTACTGCATCTAAGGTCCTACACGTATCGTGCCAGAGTATCTTGACAAAAAACACATGAGGTTGTGATGTAGATAAGCCACTCAACGAAACTACTGCGTAGTGGACTTCCAATCTTCTTTGAATGCTTCTACGATGGATCATCCCGTTACTATGGTCACCACTGGAATAATCTGACTCTTGTACCAATAGAGGCTACGTTTGTTGCGCCGCTCTACCCATTTCGTCCAAAGTGAGGGTAGATCGCATCATGGCATACAGACACTCAGAATTCTGATTTCCTGGATAAAGTAAGTCAACTTTGCCAAACTTTCTTCTAATCGGAGAACATGAGAAGGACAACTAAGATGGCCCGCTGGGCTGGCTAAACAAAGATGGGGATTGTGCACAGTAGACTTGTCACTTGAGTTAGGATGACTTCCTTTGCAGCGCAGTGACTTTTCCTCTTACGTTGACTCCTCAACGCTGAGTCTGTTTCTGAACTGCGACCATCATGCTTGCCAAATAACTCAGCCGGGGGAATCTAGCCGCTCTGGTGCTGCGTCATCCCTATCAATCAGCATTTCCCCCTCTCACCGTAGCAACAACCACTCCCACACATCTCCCTGCCCGCCAGTGTTCAGACCCTCGGTGTTCGTTCCCCCAACAAAACGTACCCTATCCATTGTAGAACTGTGTTCAGGGCTCAATAGCGCTTGAGAGCTTGACTCACAGGAGCTAAAACTGTGCGAACGCGTTTGGGGCCACTGTCAAGTTTCTCCTCCAATATCAACTCGCTCCAGGTTCTCCCAACTCCTCACATCTTCCCTCCTTTCACCAAGGCGGCTTACCAGAACTTGATCCTTAGCATCTCACAAAACACCGAGCACAGTTCATCTTGCCCTTTCCTTTGCATCTCATCTTCATCGTATTCGCGGCTGGTCATTTCTCGATATCACAACAATAACAGCTCACGAAGCACCAACGCGCTTCATTTTCTACCCTCTTCACATCTCCTCTCCTGCCACCAAGGCGGTTGACCACAACTCAATCTTTCACAGCTCACAAAACAGTGAGTGCAACTCACCTTGCCCTCTCCTTCACATCTCATCTCTCATAAACACCAGAAAATCTTTCCCATATCCCCCATCCCCCAGCGACTCTCCATCATGCCTTCCGCAGCCAATACCTATCCTAACATCACCACCGCCTCCCAAAGCAGCACATCCTCCACTGCTCTCATCCCCACCATCACCAAGACCACCATGGCCCCCAACCCCTCCAACCTCGAGCGCATCCCGCAGGAGGTCCTCCTCCACATCACCAGACTCCTCATCTTCCGCGGTGCCTCTCGCCTCGCCCGAACCTCAAAGCATCTGCACCGCACCCTGAACAGGGAGATCTACAAGCTCGCCGGCAGATACGACAGCTGGTACCCGCTCTTCTTCGCAGCATCAACCAGTAACATCGCAACTTTGGAGCTCTGCTTCGAGTTCGGCGCCGTTATCGACACCCACTGGCCTCTCAACGAGACCATGACCTTTGGGTACGGCCAGCGACTCTACCTCTCCCTGGGCTGTCGCCCTCTGCGCCAGGCTATCTCGTCTCTACAGTACGTGGCTGTGGACTGGCTCCTTCAGCACGGGGCTGATCCTGATGAGACGCTCCTGGAGGCGGTTCTGATTCACCGGCGTGAGGCACCTCTTTCTCTTGCCTTTCGTTGCGGTCGCGGGTCGTGGGAGAGAGTGCTTCCTTCACGATCCATTATTTTCACTCTCCTCGAGGCCGGCGCTGACCTGAACGACGTCGATGAGGGCCCAGCCGAGGAGATTGAGGCTATGTACGATGATCGTAGCTACATCACCCCGTATTGGTACTCTTGAATGGCAACGATGTTCGCGCGTTACTGGCTGCTGGTTGTTTGGGCTCTGAGCATCAAAGCCACTGGGTCACTCCCGCCTCGCCGCGCCGGATGACTTCCTTTTGCGTTTCGACTTTCTTTCGCGCTTTATCTTTCATATCTCGACACAATTTCACCTGTTCGCTCTCATTCAC